CTCGTGATATCCGACAGCAGGCGAGAGCGAGCGCCTCCCAGGCGGTTGATGTACTGGACTGCGGATACATTGTCCATGCGCAGGAGGATGCAGCAGTTGGATCTTTCCCGGGCCAAGTTGCGAATCGCGAAGGATCCTGCCAGGAGTTCGAGGCAATTGATGTGCATGGAGAGCTCCTGCGCCGTCCATGTTCCCCCCGTGGAGATGGTTCCGTTGGTGGCACCCCATCCCCACAGGCTGGCGTCTGACTCCAGTACGAAGTCTGGGGCGTCTCCGAATATGGCCCTGCCGTTCCAGGCTTGCATGCTGTCCAGCCACCATGATAGTTCCTCGCAAACCTCCATCGTCACCGGGACGGGTTGGTCGTAAGTAGGCCTGCGGCGTAGGTATTTCGCCTTGAGACGTTGCATGGCCCTGTAGTGGAGGGGACCCGGAAATATGGCCTGAATGGAAGCCGAAAGGAGTCCTACAATTCTGGCCAGATTGCGTAGTGGAATGGAATCGAGACGGAGAACCCTGCGAATCTCCTTGCGAATGGCTGTGATCTTTGAGACTGGTAGCCTCAGAGTGCATGTCGTCGAGTCGATCTCGAAGCCGAGGAATTGTATCATCTGGGTAGGGGTCAGTTCCGATTTCTGTTGGTTTACGATAAACCCCAAAGACTCCAGTAGGGACTGACAGATACGCGTCCTTTAGATCGAGTCTGGTGAACCAGTCATTGTTTCGAAGAAGGTCTCGCAGGAGGTGGATGCCTTCCATCTTAAAGTGGCGATAGACCACATATGCGTTGAGGGCGCGTAGATTGATGACGGGGCCGTATTCTCCCGACTTTTTCCGAACCAGGAAGATGTTGCTGAAGTAACCACCCCCGTCGCGGGCCGGCTGGATAGCCCCTTTGTCTCGGAGCTCGCGTAGCTCCGTGTTGACAAGGTTGTGGTCGGAGGATGACATGTGGATGGGGCGAGGGGGCTGAACCTGAAAGGGGGTCCCCACTAGGTCTATGATATAACCGTGTACAGTTTGTAGGATCCATGTGTCTGAGCATAGGGCGGCCCAATTCTGGAAAGAAAGGGAAATACGGCCCGCAGTGCGGGTACATGGTAACAGTGGAGGAATATGGGTCCTTACCTGCGGTAAAGCGGGAACGTCCGCGTCCGCGAGGTCCACGACCTCTATCCGAGCCTCTGGGAAAGGGTTGCTGCCGGTAGTCTCTTGTCGGGTAAAATGGTGTTGGTTGGGTGCGGGGGCCTGAAGGCCAAAATCGGCTGGCGGCACGGCCCCGTTGCCGGCCAGCCCTTCCAAAAACCCCTCTGGTAGGGTTGCTTCTGAAAACTCTGCGCATTGAGGACTGCGCCTTATTAAGGGAGGTTCACGTGTTTGTTGAGTTCCTTGAGGAACGGTTCGCCAAATAGTTTCCCTTGTGCCTGGGGCCCAATCTCCTTTGTGCCAAGGTCTGCCAATTTGCCGTTAATACGGTACAACGCTGCTTTTCTTCTCTCCGAAGAGAGCGTAACATTAGTGTTTCTGATGAAACAAAAACAGCAAGCTGGCACAGCCACACTGAGTCCCTAATGAGATGCAAGAGGCAAAACTAAGATGGCCTCGAGAATCTCGCGATGTCCGCGATCCAAAATGGCGGCCGCGAGGTAGGCCGCAAGCCGGGGACTAAATTTTTGAGGCCGGCCGCAGGCGGAAGCGGGCCGGCGCGAAAACGGCCGCGAACAAAACCGGCCGCAAGGAGGAAGCCCAGGAGGGCACTCCAGGGTAGGGGGGCAGAGGGGGGACCTGGGGAAACCAAGGGGAAGCCCAGGGAGGGTCCCAGGAGGCACAGAGGGGCAGAAAGAGGCAGAAAAAAACCCACAGAGAGCCCCTAGTCCCCCAGCCCTTGTATAGAACAAATAATAGAAGGAAAGGCTAAAACAAAGATGATAAAATATGTTGCAATAGCAAGGAATAAACAAGTAATGACAATAAATGTATAACAAGTAATGACAATAAATGTATAAAGCTCCAGGGGAGCAAATATTCTGACCTGTCTGCGATGGAGCAGTAAAGAAAGAGGAAGTGTACAGGCAGCATGACCCTTATATACTATGCTGCTCAGTGATTTATTTGTTACTCTTTACGTTTTTCTTTACTGCTGTGGAGTTTAGTAAAGAGAGTTAATGCAAAATAGGAAGCCTCCTGTCATGTTATAAAATTAAAAGCAGCAGATGTCTTGTCTGACGCCGTTGCAAGCCCTCACCTTCTTCCCCAACACAGACTTTCTACGGTTGTCCAACTGCAGATTTCCAAATGCATCTCAATGAGACATCTTTGCAAGACAGGTACTCTGAGCAATTGTTGCCTCTTGAGGTTAAAAGGAAACTATAGTTCTGGGAAAAGAAACTTGTTTTCCTGGCACTATAGCTTCCCCCTCTGCAGAAGGTGTTAATATCTCCTTCCGTGGTGCAGAAGGGGTTAATATCCCCTTCTGTCAGCTCCGCCCACGTTCCTCCCCCACCGACATCAGCCAGCAGGAGAGACCTAATGCGCGGGTGCAATGGCGCCAATGGCCGAGGCCGGGAGGGGAGGTGACGATGCAGGGCCCGCGCTATGCGAGCGCCGGCCCTGCTGTATTCCATGACGGGCTGCTGGTGAGATCAAAGATCTCCCTCACCGCCCCACATGCACGTAATGCTGCCACCGGCTGGGGAGGGAGGAAGAAAGGAGAGGACCCAGAGGAGCCATGGCAACCCTCCGGTCTCGTGAACTCTAGCCCCGTAGGCTAGAGTTCACTCACCACTAGGACCACCAGGGATTGCAGCATGGTCCCCCATCCCACTCCCTGGCATTCAATCAATCCCCACCACCCTAACACAGTGACAGGCAACAGCAGAAATAGCCCTGGTGCAAGAATTTTGTTGCCCATCCCAATGGCAAGGGTGGCCAGAACGTAGATCCCTATCTGTGGTGCAACTCCAACAATGCTTTGACAGCTAGGGCTCTACTAATTTCCCATTGTCACGAGGTTGTATTTAGCCCTGAGGCATATGTGTGTGTTTGAATGTAAGCATGTTTTTGTATGGAGTATGTTTGTGTGAATGGGTAGGGGTGTGTTTGTATGTGCCGTTTGAATGCAAGCATGCATTTATGTGTAGTGTTGGTTTTTGAATGCAGGGGTGTGTTTACATATTATTGGTGTTTAACACCAAAATGTGTGCGTTTGTATGGCATGCTGCGATTAGGGGCATGTCGCCTAAACAAATTTAAAGGTACTAGTGACTGGGCAGCTAATGCTGCCCAGTCACCAGTGCAATAAGGGGGGAACTGGCACAGGTTAAATCCTCCCGCATGCCCCTACATTTAGTCATTGAAAACTGGATATAAAAATCTGTATCTTACATAGAAGTGATAGAGGGCTGCGGTAAGAGTACATGCAACCAAAAGTTATAGTAAAAGCTATAACAATGTTGAAATATGAAAAAGTACCTATTTAGATGTAAATAGCTACTTTTTACACGTACTCTTACCGACCATAGTTCCAACACTTTGTCACATCCTGCTCTGTTCTGTGGAGATGTCTGGCCTTGGCTTCTGGTATCCAGTACTCTTTTTTTACAATTCTTGTTTAGTTTTTCTTGGTTTTCTATTCTATGTCTGGTTTTCTTTATACTGGGATTTCTGGGTTCATTCTTATATTCCGTCCCTGGATTTCCCAGTCTCTTGGATTCATTTAAATGTTTGTTTTATGTTGCCACACCTGTTTGTTTTCGATTTTCCTTTTGTTTCAGTCTGGACCTGCAGCAGTGTTTCAAGTCTCTGTCCTTTCTTGCAGGTAAGTGCTATTGTGGATTAGTATGGTTCTTTTAGCGAACATTAGGCAGTGTAGGACCTGCCGAATATGGGGTACATTGGCGTTGTGGCAGGCTTATGCAATGTATGATCATTTAATGTAACTAAATCCCCATACTTTTCACATATAGTGCTTAGTTATGTCTCCTCTTCTCTTGTATCTCTTGTCTTGTTTTATTTTGTCTTGTATTCCCAGTTCATGTATAGTCCTGTCCTGCCCTGTTCTTGTTTTCCTCATGTCTTGTGTACATGTTCTGCTTTCTGTCCTGCTCTGGTTCTGGATTCTCCTAGTTTTGTCTTGTTTTCATGTATGGTGCCTATCTCTAGTCTTGCCTTGCTTCTGTACTGGATACAGGGGCGGACTGAGAGCCTTTGGGGCCCCCGGGCAAAATTAGATCCCAGGCCCTTTGAAGGCCAAATATATGTGCATTAAATAAATGTTAAATATAACTCATAATACAGCATTCCTTTGGATGTGTATATTGTGAAGACCTGTGTATCAATGCATGTTTGTATTTGAGTGTGTGAATGCACTTGTGCATGTCGGGATGACTACATGTGCTTTTTTGTATATAGTGTCTGTGTGAATGCATATGTGACAGGTGACAGTGTGTGAGGGAGAAGGTGACAGGTGGAAGAGTGTGGGAGGTTGTGACAGGTGGCAGAGTGAGGGGGTACCTGGTGGCAGAGTGAGGGAGGGAGGGGTTGAGTGGTGACAGAGTGAAGGGGAGACACAGTGAGTGGGGGTGACTAGTGACATAGGGAGGGAGAGGGGGTGACTAGTGACAGAGTTAGGGAATGGGTGACTAGTGGCAGAGTGAGGGAGGGAAAAGATGACTAGTGGCAGAGTGAGGGAGGGAAAAGATGACTAGTGGCAGAGTGAGGGAGGGAAGGGGTGACTGGTGACAGAGTGAGGGGATGACTGGTGACAGAGTGAGGGAGTGACTAGTAACAGAGGGAGGGAGTGACTAGTGACAGAGGGAGGGGATGACTGTCACTAGTCACCCCATCCCTCTCTCTGTCACTAGTCACTCCCTCCCTAACTCTGTCACTGTGTCACCCGCTCCCTCACTCTGTCACTAGTCACTCCCTCCCTAACTCTATCACCAGTCACCCCTTCCTTCCTTCACAGTGACAGAGTTAGGGAGGGAGTGGGTGACACAGTGACAGAGTTAGGGAGGGAGTGACTAGTGACAGAGAGAGGGATGGGGTGACTAGTGACAGTCACCACCTCCCTCACTCTGTCACTAGTCACCACCTCCCTCCGTCACTGTGTCACCCCCTCCCTCACTCTGTCACCAGTCATCCCCTTACTCTGTCACTAGTCACCCCTCCCTTCCCTCACTCTACCACTAGTCACCCCTTCTCTCACTCTATCACCTGTCACCCCCTCACTCTGTCACTAGTCACCCCCTCACTCTAGTGACAGAGAGAGGGAGGGTGTGACTAGTGACAGTAAGGGTGTGACTAGTGACAGAGAGAGGGAGGGTGTGACTAGTGACAGAGTGAGGGAGGGAAGGGGTGACTAGTGAGAGTGAGGGAGGTGGTGATTAGTGACAGAGGGAGGAATGGGGTGACTATCACTGTCACCCCCTTCCTCACTCTGTCACTAGTCACCCCCTCTCTCACTCTGTCACCAGTCATTCCCTCACTCTGTCACCAGTCACCCCTTCCTTCCTTCACAGTGACAGAGTGAGGGGATGACTGGTGACAGAGTGAGGGAAGGGATGAATAGTGGCAGAGTGAGGGAAGGAAGGGATGACTGGTGACAGAGTGAGGGAATGACTGGTGACAGAGTGAGAGAGGGGGTGAATAGTGACCGAGTGAGGGAGGAAGAGGGTGACTAGTGACAGAGTGAGGAAGGGGGTGACACAGTGATAGTCACCCCATTCCTCCCTCTGTCACTAATCACCACCTCCCTCACTCTCACTAGTCACCCCTTCCCTCCCTCACTCTGTCACTAGTCACACCCTCCCTCTCTCTGTCACTAGAGTGAGGGGGTGACTAGTGACGGGGTGACAGGTGATAGAGTGATGGGGTGACTAGTGATAGTTACCACCTCCTTCACTCTGTCACTGTGTCACCCCCTTCCTCACTCTGTCACTAGTCACCCACTCCCTCCCTCACTCTGTCACTAGTCACTCACTCTGTCACTAGTCATCCCCTTCCTTACTGTCACTAGTGACCCACTCCCTCTGTCACTAGTGACCCACTCCCTCTGTCACTAGTCACATCCTCCCTCTCTCTGTCACTAGTCACACCCTCCCTCACTCTGTCACTAGAGTGAGGGGGTGACTAGTGACAGAGGGAGGGGATGACTGGTGACAGAGTGAGGGACGGAGGGGGTGACTAGTGATAGAAGGAGGGAGGGAGTAGTGACAGAGGGAGGTGATGACTAGTGACAGAGTAAGGGAGCTGGTGACTAGTGACAGTCACCACCTCCCTCACTCTGTCACTAGTCACGCCTTCCTTCCCTCACTCTGCCACTAGTCACCCCATCACTCTAGTGACAGAGTGAGGGAGGGTGTGACTAGTGACAGTTAGGCAGGGAAGGGGTGACTAGTGACAGAGGGAGGGGTGACTAGGGACAGAGTGAGGGAGGTGGTGACTAGTGACAGTCACCACCTCCCTCACTCTGTCACTAGTCATCACCTCCCTCCGTCACTGTGTCACCCCCTCCCTCACTCTGTCACCAGTCATCCCCTTACTCTGTCACTAGTCACCCCTCCCTTCCCTCACTCTGCCACTAGTCACCCCTTCCCTCCCTCTGTCACTAGTCACCACCTCCCTCTCTCTGTCACTAGTCACCCCCTCCCTCTCTCTGTCACTAGTCACACCCTCCCTCACTCTGTCACTAGAGTGAGGGGGTGACAGGTGACAGAGTGAGGGAAGAGGTGACTAGTGGCAGAGTGAGGGGATGACTAGTGACAGAGTGAGGGAGGTGACGACTAGTGACAGTGGGGGGGTGACTAGGGACAGGGGGGGTGACTAGGGACGGGGGGTGACTAGTGACAGAGGAGGGGGGTGACTAGTGACAGTGAGGAGGGGTGACTAGTGACAGTGAGATGGGGGGGTGACTAGTGACAGTGAGAGGGGGGGTGACTAGTGACAGTGAGGAGGGGTGAATTGCAGTGACAGTGAGGGGGGTGACTAGTGACAGGAGGAGGGGGTGACTAGTGATAGTGAGGGAGGGGTGACTAGTGATAGTGAGGAGGGGTGACTAGTGACACGGGGGGGTGACTAGTGACAGTGGGGGGGTGACTAGTGACAGTGGGGGGGTGACTAGTGACAGTGGGGGGCGGTGACTAGTGACAGTGGGGGGGTGACTAGTGACAGTGGGGGGTGATTAGTGACAGTGGGGGGTGATTAGTGACAGTGGGGGGGTGACTAGTGACAGTGGGGGTGACTAGTGACAGTGAGGGAAGTGACTAGTGACAGTGAGGGGGTGTCTAGTGACAGTGAGGGGGGGTGACTAGTGACAGTGAGGGGGGTGACTAGTGACACAGGGGGGAGGGGGGGTGACTAATGTCTACCTGTCTCTCTGCTTCCTCTTCTCTCCCAGGCTGCTGCTCCTTCCCCTCGCTGATCGGCTCTGTGTGAGAGGAGTAAACAGGAAGTGATGTCACTTCCTGGCCCCGCTTCTACCCATCACACAGAGCCGCGTGGGACAGGAAGCAGGAGTTCTGGCAGAGAGGAGGTGAAGCTGCCAGGTCTCGTGGGGGGGGGGGGGTCACTTGCAGAGCGGTAGGTTGCTGGGGCCCCGCGCTGCATCAGGGGCCCCATAACCTGTCAATTAAATAGTTTTATTTTATTATTTTTTGCCGTTCCAGTTGGAGAGATCTCTAATAATATATTCTGACACAAGGAATAAATAGGTGCAAATAAGTACTAGAAAACCCATAAACTGTAAATGTGGCACATTCTACCCATACTCCCTCATAAGAACAGCTTGTCACATACCAGGATGATATGCCACTTTTCTTGGATGGGCACAGCACCACTGATGCTAATTTTTTTATCACTGGCATGGCCACAGTCTGGCTCCACCCTCTCCTGATCTTCGACCTACCAAGTATAGCTTTTTATTTTCGTTATTGTACAAACCAGTGTTAATTTTGATGGCAAATTTCAATTTAGTTTTAGCCCTAGTCTGTTAGTTTTAGTCGTAATTTAGTCATCTGAATTGTTTTAGGTGACTAAATCTCCAGTAGATATTAGTCGACAAGACTAAAATCTAATGGGTTTAGCGAAAGTCTCTGTCTCTTTTGCCCCTTCCCCACCCCCTTGTCTCTCTTTGTGTCCTCCCAGCCCCTCCAGGTGTCTCCCTCCCAAGCCCTGGTCTGTCTCATTTGCCCCTTCTACAGCCCCTCTGTAGTGTTAATTTTGGTGGCAAAGGTCAATTTAGTTTTAGTAATAGTCTTCTGACTAAAAAGCCATTTTAGTTCTAGTTCTATTTTAGTCATCAGAATTGTTTTAGTCGACTAAATCTAAAAAACTTTAGTCGACTAAAATTGTTAGTCAACAAAATTAACATTGGTACAAACAAGGTTTATTCACGAACAAGGTTTGTACAGCATTGGTTTGGGAAGTGCAGAATTTAGACAAAAGTTAGTTGACTTGAAACAAAATCTTTTGCCTTACATTTTTTTGATGCCTTGTCCAATTACTACAGTTCTTTTTGAATAACAACCAGAGAGGTAAGATGTGACCTCATATAGCTTATCTACAAAGTGTGAAAGATCTGTGCATGCCTATTGTTTTCTTTGCCATGAGTGATTATGTGAGTGTAATTAGTGTCTTATTCTTCCGTTTAAATGTCCCCCGGGGCTTTATACATTCAAATCAGATTTTGGCAGGTCACTTAGCCCCATTTCAATTCCAGTATTAAAGGGACACTGTAGTCACCAGAACAACTACAGCTTGTTGAATTTGTTCTGGTGAGTAGAATCATTACCTTAAGGCTTTTTGCTGTAAACACTGTCTTTTCAGAGAAAATCCAAACATTCAGTGTTTCCTCCCTCTGCATGCAGACACTGAACTTTCCTCATAGAGATTCATTGATTCAATTAATCTCTATGAGGAGATGCTGATTGGCCAGGGCTGTGTTTGAATTATGCTGGCTCTGCCCCTGATCTGCTCCTTGTCAGTCTCAGCCAATCCTATGGTGAAGTATTGTGATTGGATCAGGCCATCACTTCTGATGATGTCAGTAGACAGCTTGTTTTTCTGAGGCAAACAGCATGCAGAGTTACAGCTTCAGGCTAGAATACAGTAAGATTTTGCTATATTTATGGAGGCCCAGGGGGCTAGATGGTGGTTTTAACACTAAAGGGTCAGGAATACATGTTTGTGTTCCTGACCCTATAGTGATCCTTTAACCTTGCCATTGCTCTATCCCCAGTGTTTTGTCATCTCATGGCAGTGGGAAAAACCCTGTCTTAGAGCCCAATGTCTTCATCTGCATGGAAAAGGATATTTTTGGCATAGACCGCTATGTTACATTGGCAGTATACTATTTTTGATGCTCCTGAAGCACAGATTCCATACTGCCTCGGAAAGCTAACAGACCACTATATATTGAATAATTTTTACGGTTTGTTCTGTATTCATTTTGCGCAGAGAGGATGGTGGATTATTTGAGAAGAAAAAAAATTGACCTGAATAAGAGGCTCTTGATTGGTGGAGCCTCTTCCTGGTCTGAGAGAGGACTGCCTATTGCTTCAGCCTGCAGTGTATTAGCTAAAGCAGCAAGAATTTTGATTAGTATTTTTTTTTTCTGTTTTGTTCACTCATTATTTTTAATGCATTGTCTATATCCCTATTTCCTAAGGTTCTGTGAATAAACCCTGGATATACAGTGTGAAATTTAAACTTAAATTCACACCAATTTGTGAAGGCACCAGTGGTTTTTAATATTAATTGGATTATGAATTTTCATGCTTAAAACCTCTAATCACAGACAGATAGGTGCGCCAGACAGCTTCTAGCTACAGTGACTTAGGATCAAAGTTTCACTTTGTGAGTCTTAACCTCACAATTGTTACCAGGCTGCCAAATCTCTTGAGCTTGCGGAATTCTTTTTAACTGTATGATCCAGGGCTCAAAGATATAATTTCAGAGCTGGATTTACTCCTAAGATTAAAGGAAATCTATAAATGCAAAAAAGCAAAGACCAAAAAAAATTGTTCAGATATATATCCTAAAGACTAGCTTACAAAGTAATCAATTTTAAATGTTATGAGAAAATAAAAAAATAAATATATATTATTTATTTATTTTCACACCACTCCATACTTCACCCCAGAACAACAGAGTTAGCTGGAGTGAGTTAAAGTGGAACTGTCACCAACACAAAATGTGTATTTTCATCCTTAACAAGGGTATCGAGAGAAAAACATTCATATTCTTATGTTGTAGTTCTTTAATAGATACACAAAAAAGCCTAAATTTATAAAAATGGCTATCTATAAAATTAATAGGAAGATACCTGCATTAGAACACTGGTGGCATCAATTACTTAATTACTGTACACGCAACAAGCTGCACATACACTGAGCAGCCAAAACATTAAAAACAGTGACAGGCACTTCCCCCAAACATGTGCCTCTGGGAGAAGGACCTAAACATTAAAATCCACCCTAAAGCATGGCATTTGGCTATGGAAAGGGTCAAAAAAGCTACACACAGTTTGGCCCAAAGAGAAGCATAATGCAAACTAATAATGAGGTCGTACTTAGTACCCACACGTCTGGCGCGCATATTCCCGGGCACAACCCCCCTATGCTGGAGATGCCAAGAGCATGAGGGCACACTATTCCATATATTCTGGTCATGCCCAATCATTACAAAATTGTGGGATGCAGTGGAACAGTTCCTCCTAAAGACGGTAAAAATTAGAGTCCCAAAAACCACTGCAAACTACCTTCTCCATGTGTTCCCCTACCCACCCAGAGAAGACGAACTACAGATTCTTACCCATTGCCTCATAGCAACAAAAATAACAATAGCACACAGGTGGAAACAAACACAATGCCCAACCTTAACAGAGGTCCTGACACAACAAGTAACTATGAGATGATGGCCAGTCGTATCCGGAATGAAGAACATAAACACTATAAACGCTGGCAGAGATGGGTCCAGGTTAGGGACCAATGTATTTGATAGCTACCTCATTGACCTACCCACGAGGGAACTAGTAGAAAAGACCCGCACCACAGTCAAAACAGCTACCACAATGTGCATACCTCACCCCCCACCACACCGAAAACCCTCTAGTGCACAGAGAGCACCAATGACAGGCAAAGAAACGAAAAGGACAGATTCTTAGAGCACAAGCAATAGAGCAGTAGGCCCAATATACAACAACAGCCGCATTGGCAAATCCAGATACAACAGAGCCTACCTGCAGGTATCAGAGAACTCACCTCAAGCTTACCCTTTAGCTTATAGAACGACTCCTAGTGCTACAGGCTTGTATAGGCCAACATAAGTCTTCATCTATTGATGCTAAACAACCTTAGTACTTGATGACCTATACTCAACTTACACTACCCCAAGATGTGGCCTAGCCAATACATAATTGTAATTGTAATGTAATGTATATATGAAATGTGATGTAACTATGACCTGCACTGTCAAGAATCTGTCAGGAACCTGTTGACTCTGTGAAATATATGTATGCACTCCCCCCCCCCCCTTTTTAATTTCTGTATCCCTCTTTCAGTTTGATGCGAAATATT